AGTCTTGGTGGATCTTGCCTTCTCGTACATCGCTCATATCAGATCCATCGTCATTCCATACGGGGTGCTGCTCGCCATGGCTAATCCACCACAGGCAACTTGCACCCGTGCCAAACAACCCAAATCCTCTATAATCACTTGAAATTCTCACTGATTCGGGATAGTGACCCCGCGTCAGGACCATTCTCTTATTTCTGAGAAAGCACTTCACCACAGTGGCAGAACCAAATGAAGGATTAAGACACTCACCATCTCGGCTCGTATCATAACCGGGGCAGTTGTGGTGTAGGGATTTCCAGATTCGACCATACGCCAACCTACTTTAGATCAAGAATCGCCTCGGTCTGATAACCCAGAGCTTAGGAACAAAGGATCACGGTAAGTACTCGGCGATCTGTCCGGATGATGCTATTCGGATAGCCGCTGAGCTCAACGGTCGCCTGAACCCAGCCGAAGGGTCGGTAGAGATCCGAAACGACTGCAATTCACTAGATATTTGTAAAAGAAGCATAGGATAAAATAGGGGAGCCGGAAGGGCCCCCAGAAGATAACAGAGTAAAATTTTCCTAGTCCAAGACACGTGTACACTTTTCCGGTAAGTCCCTGCATAGGGCTGGATTATGCCTGCCGTCGATACTCAAGAGGCATAGCTTCTAGGGTATTGACTGGTAGCGCCAAGAGATTAGGTCGGTCTGGGTAGGACAAAGTCTCGCTACGCGCGAAAGAAAGGCCCGCATACTCAGCGGGCCGGTACGTCGGATAGCCCGGGTGCCGTAACACTTCTAGCTGAGCAGCCTCTGCGCTCGGTGGCCTGTAAAAGCGCTCGCGCGCCGTCGTCCATCCTTTGGTGGAGGGCACAGGGTTGTGAACGAGCTCAGCCGAACCAAACTCGGCGGAGCCTCGGAAGTGATCTGACTTGGTTAGTCGGAACCGAGTGGAAGCGAGCCACTCGTCTGTCCCGGAAGGGCTGAACCGCGAGGGGACCACCCTCTGCGCAGGCCATACAACCGCCGACCTAACTCGGCGATTCGTTGTGGTTTGTGTAAGGAATCCACATATGATGGTATTTGTGTGTTAAACTACACCACAACTGGTGCCGCGACCCGGGAACAGGAGTGTGTGCTTGTTTTTATAGGTGCCAGCTAACCAAGTTAAGAGGTAGAGAAGAGAAAGAGAAGAGTAAAGATGGTCAAGGGATCAGCAACTCCGAGCGACGGAAGCCCAGCGACGGCTGGAGGATCGCCTCTCGCGGGGTCGGACCCGGCGGATCAACGACTTATCGCCATGACGATGGAGGTGGGACGAACCGTCCAGCTCGACGAGGATGGCCAAGACCAGGAGAGCGAGAACGGAGATGCAAGTGAAGGAGAGTACGAAGAGAAGGCCGAGACCGCTGAGCTCGGAGAAACGAAGACTACCGCCGAGCTACTTGGCGAGGTGGAAGAGTTGACGCTGCAGGTGGGACGCATGGAAGCCCCACGTCCTGTCGAGCGCAACTTATCCGCCGAGCTCGACGAAGGTGCGGACGATGAAGAAGATGAAGAAGAACATGGCGCTGCTCAAGGGGATCGTCCGCCCCTTATTCCGAAAGCGACGAGGAGCGCCGATACGCCGAGCGCCAATAAAGTGTTGGCTCGACTCGGCGAGGAGATGAGAACGAGATCGGAATGGATGATGATGTTCGCGCCTGTGGCGATGGCGCAGGCGAAGTGACCGATGTTTGGTCCCGAGTTAATCCAACCGGCGCGTGCAGACAACATCAATCAGTTGGTGGAAGAAACTGTGTTGCTGTTGAAGGCGATGGGCTATCGGTGCAACAGCCGACCAAACAGCCTCATCCTATCCGACTGGTAGTCTGCCCCGTGTGGAGCTGAGCTCTGGCAATGGCAGAAGAGTTGAGAGTGGCGTTTGGATTGAAGAGGCTCCTTGCTGCACGAGAGGTGTACAGCGAGTAGCGAGCTCAAACACTCGGCGAAGACCCAAGCAAAATTCCTTGCCGAAGACCCCGGAGACGAAGAGACGTGAAGTTGTCCCCGCCTACGCAAGGGACTCCGTACTTCGAAGACTCTCACATGCTGACTCCGATGAAGCTAAACCCGACTCAGCGAGCGCCGAGTCGTGGACAGCGGAATGTAGGTCGTTACCGTGAATTGTATGACGCTGCTGACGAAGCTGAGGCTTTCGAGGAGGACGAGGAGGACGATAACGCCTTCGGCGTGAGAGAAAACCGTGAAGAAACCGTGAAGGACTACATCCGAAACTTGAGCTTCGACGCGGCTGAAGAAGACTCGGCTAAGTACCGAGAAGTCCGAACCCATGCCTCACTCGACACAATCGCCGAGTTCGAAGGGAAGCGCTACCGTTCTGACGCATCGCTCCAGTGGCTCAAGCGTTTCATCTACGAGATGAAGAGTACCAGGATGCCCCAAAGTGCCTGGTGCGAGCCCTTCTCGCTATGCTTAGGACGCGCGGCGAAGAGTTGGTATAGGCAGCTGCCGAAGAAGACTCAGCGACATTAGAAACTACTCAGCGAGGTGTTCCTGATCTATTATTGCTCACAGTTTGACCAATCTGCCCGCAATCGCTACTACTCGGCGAGACGTAAAGTCAACGAGCCGATCTGCGACTTCCTGATCCGACTCAATGGGTATGCTCGGACAGCCAAGATCCAGTACGAGAAAGGTGGCGCCGACCCAGCTGACCATGTCGAGCACTTCTTGCTGCATTGTGGTGATGACGATGTGATGGATTTAATGTACCCCTTGCAGTTGGAATACAATCAGTAAGGTGGAGCAGATAATCAATCGTCGAATCCTCGGTGAAAAGCGCAAGAAGCAACGCGACCGACTCGTGATCGCACGAGGCCGAGACGACAAGCGGAAGGATCAAAGCCGCCGAGATGAACGCCGAGATGGGCGTCGAGATGAGAAGCGCAGTCGCAAGGAAGAAAACCGCGACCGCCGAGTCACTGTCGTTGACACTGACTCTGACGGGGAGGATCTCCTCGATCAGAACCCGCCGAGTCCCGTACAAACTCCGAAGACGAATGGGATGATGAGGATCAGTCTGGAAGCTACGACTCAGCGGAAGACGACGACTACATAGACGCCGGCGCTACCAATGATAAGGGGATTACAGCGGATCGCCGAGAGAACTCAGCGGGAGACCAGAATGGCTCGAATTGAAGTTGGGGGAACTCAGCGAACCGACCTCCGCGACCGAACTACCAACGAGAACGGTCGAACCGTGGAGATGGATCGCGCGACAACTCACAGCGTGGACCTTGTGCAGCTTGTGGAAGAACGGGGCACTCGGCTCACTACTGTCGGCGGCGCTGCAAATTCTGCAGACAAGTCCATGAAGTCGGCCAGTGCGAACTGTTTCGTCAATACGAGAAGCTGGCTGCGTTCGTAAAAAACTCTGTCGACAAGTCGCAAGTGCCAGAAGACCTGTAAAACCTTTACACGCCGAGTGATTTAAACTCGGCGGCCCGCCAACACTGACTGGGTTGGAATATGCCGGGCTGCCACAGTCAGCTGAACCTGCAGTTGAGGCGAACTTCTTGTTTGCCTTCGTAGGCGAAGCAAGACGGCCTGAGGGAAGAAGCGGGGATGGCAATTGGATGTGTGAAATCGACGGAATTGAACGTGAGCTCGGTGAGTTAGATGATAACCACCGAGCGATTGCAAGTGTAGCTCGGCAGTCAGACCAGGCTGTGCATCGTACCCAAATCATGAAGCTGCTTCCGGGAGAAC